TTTCAACAATTTTTTTCTGGATTAGTTCTCAGCCTAAGCATTATTTGATAATAAATTTATGGTGAGTAACATTTTTGCTAGTGACACCTCCACTTGTGTGGTTTGTCTTTGGAGAATTACAGATTTTGAGAGTTTTAAAAAAAAATTAGGAGAGATTTTCTACAAAGTCTTTTTTTATTCAAAGTATATATTTTTTTCCATTACTGTGTTGTCAGCTTTCTGTTACCTTAACAAATGCCTGAGATAATCAATTTATAAAGAGGAAATACTTATTTTGGCTCACTGTCTTGGAACTTTCAGTCCCTGACTGTCCCTGCTGTCTTGGTCCTGTGATAAGAAACACATCCAATGTGGCAGCCTCTGGTGCAGCACTGTTCACCTCCTATCAGTCAAGAAGCAAAAAAAGGAAGTGAGATGAAAATGAGAAAGAAGCGAGGGTCCCAAAGTACCCTTCAAGGGCACACCCCCAATGGCCCCAAAACTCTTACTAGGTCCTATCTCTTAAAAGTTTCTACCACCTCCCAACAGCACCAAGCTGGAGATCAAGTCTTTAACACATGGGCCTTTGGGGTCATTCTGGTTCCAAACTATAGCAATGTACCTACCTAGAATATTTTCAGGATCTCCAGGGACTGACAATACCCTATTCTAGTGAAATTTTTTTCGATTTAAAGCAATGTTCTGATTTTCAGAGTTTTCTGTGTTAAACTCAATACCTGTTTCCCTTGAACCAACACATATTGTTCTTTTTCTTTTTAAAGGTAGTGAATATTAATTGTACAAACTAAAGGGTTTCATTGTGATTTTGCTCCTCCTGATATTGCATTTGTTGCCAATTTTCTATGCTGAAATTAAGCCCCTCAGCCTATGTCAACTAATTATGTATGAAAAGTAGTCTGCAATAGGATCTTTAATGGGATAGTAGTTCACCCTGTCTTAAGCAGAAATGAGACTTAACAAGTGAGAATTATAAGGTGAGGAGTATGGTGAGCATCGGTTCTTTGGCCCTAGAACCTTAGGTTCAACTGATTCAAGTACTCAAGTAATGTCTACAGGATTCTTTCTCATTTCTTTCATTCAATATCTCTTTGCCTTTGCTTGGCTTCAATATCTTTTTATACGGAGTTTTTTTTTTTTTCATGTGGCCAAGAAAACAGCTGGCTTCCGGTATCTTTAACTTAGTTTTTGCTCTCACCAAAAAGATAGTGGTATATGTCTAGGAAAACCAACCAACCAACCAAACAACAACAACAACAAAACACCAGTCCTCCAAAGAAACACTTCTAAAACTACAAAAATGCAAAATAACCACAAATGTTTTGTCTGACTCCCCAACTTGTAAGACATGACCAGTCCTGCAGAGATCTTGAAAGACGTTGCATGGTGCAGTTGGAGAAGTGCAGTTCCCCAACAGAAGGGGAGGTGGTAGACAAAGGAAAGGAACATTTGTTCCCTGTGGCAGAAAATATGCTATTAAAGTATGATGGATTGGGGGTGGGGTGGGGTGCTCAAGTGGTAGAGTGCTGGCCTAACAAGTGCCAGGCCCTGAGTTTTGTATCCCAGTACTGCAGAAAAAAGTATGGTGCTTTGAAAATGACATAGCCTTTCAAATGTAATTTTATGAGTGTAATGTAGAGTTGGATCCAACCCCAGACTCTAGAGATCAACTCACAAAGCCCATTGTTATGTTAGTTGGGGGAGTCAACTTCTAGGGGCAGTAATTCATACAGCTTTGAATTTTGGTAAGCAAAGGTAAAGATAAAGCCTGAGACCTTTCTAGATACTCTAGAATGTTCCTATTCTGTTCTTTTCTCCCTTCTTCCCTTTCTTCTCCCATTCCTTTCATCTATTGTACAAAGAGAACTAGTTTCTTACAGAGATTCAGGGAGGAACAGGGAGGTAAACTTGGAGATATTTATAAGATGATATGGGAATGAAGTGATGGAGGTAAGGCACCCAGTATCCTCATGGGTTAGACTAGAATTATTAGTATATTGGTGTCTGTCTATCTATCTATCTATCTATCTATCAATCTATCTATCATCTACCTGTCTGTTCATCTACCTATCTAATCTTCTTTATATTCTAATTGAGAAAATTTTAAGATACTACTACTATATATTGATTTAACTCCTCGTATTTTCCTCCAATAACTAATACACATCATCTTTTCAGTAGCCTCTCCAACCATCATGGCACATTATTTAAAGCAGCACATTCTACTTCTGCTGTCTCTCCCCAAGCCTCATACTCTGCTTTGTTTATTGTATTTATTATTTGGTGGCACTGGGGTTTGAACTCAGGGCTTCACACTTGCAAAGCAAGCACTGTACTGCTTAATTTTTTAACAAACCACATACCACTTTCTTTCATACCGCTATAATTAACTATTTGCCCTGCTCTACTACAATACCTATTCTTCCTTGTCAACAAGGACAGGAGAATTATTTTGTGTTTTATTCACTAGTGTATCTTCAGTATTAGAACAGCATCTTATCAATAGATAAGAAAACAAATATTTGTTCGATATCTAACTCAAATTTTTAGATCTTTTCTCTGCAGTCATAATGGATTTTCTTTCTCTTCCAGCCATGCATAGTTCTTACCTAAACTAGAAAGTAGAAACTTCTTCCTGGCTTTCTTCATTGGAACACCCCATAAGCGGCTCTCAACATTGAAATAACTGTGTTTCCTCCTTTCCCAGCCTTCTCTACCATATGCCTTCTGTCAGTTAGTAACCATACTGCCCATACAGTGACACAACACCAGCCAAACAGCCCATATTTCCCCATCTTGTTTCCAGAGATTTTATGAGAACCTGGAAAATCACATTGAAATTCACACACATCAGAACCCATTCCCTCATACAGCGAGCTAGTAAAAACAAACAAATTGATAATTAAAATAAAATAAAGGAAATGAACTTAGGATGGCATGGCTTATTCTTTTTGTGTACATTCTAATTTTGGTACTACTTCTTCAGTCTATAAATCCTCACCACCATCTATCTGATGATGATAGATGCTGATATAACTGACAGGATCATATCTTGCAAATTTTGTGTTTCTTCTTTTTTGAAAGTGAGGACATTTTTCATAGTTTGGAATTCTCCCATCACATTCATTCTCTACCTTCTCAAAGATGGAAGATCAACAGATGAATATGGAAAATTACTTCTTGAGTCCAGAAAAATGTGGCTGATTAAGGGATGTTTCAGTTTCATTGATGAGATCCTTCCATGGCTTGAGGTGGTTATTCATCTCTCTAGTCTTTGTTCTATCCTTTTCAGGCTGGTAGTCATTCTCCTTGAACATCTTAGTAGAAATATTACATTGGCCTGCAATATTGCATTTCTGTAAACTTCCTGGGGATGCTCACTACTGGTCCTCAGACCACTCTGTGAGTAGCAAGCTAGAGGATATACCATGTCCAATATTTAATATCCCTCACCTCATCCGACTCTCAATTCTGAGTGTGATTTACTTGCTTTCTGTTATGACTGTCTATCTAGTTAGTAGACAGAGCTAGAGTAAGTGACTTTGATGATACCCAGCATCATAAATAAGCTTATGATAAGATGAAGCATTGGAAAATAGCTACCAGAGAGCCTCATCTCCTAGAAAAATTCCATCTTCCAACTCTACTCACTTCCAAGTCAAGTGTTGTTTTTAGCTGCATCTTCAGTTTTCTAGGCCTGCCTTACCAGGATTGCTTCTCAGTAGCACAGCAGAACAGTAATAGTTGCGAAGTTTAGGGAAATACGCTTTTTTTTCTCCTGAGATCATTTTCTGGTGTTTGGGGTGACCTGATCCTTATTTCTGCTTCTCTGACCTTCAGAATGTCTACTTGTTTTGATAACTTCAGGAATTACTGATCTCTTGTTTATTATTATTATTTCCAAAAATTTTGAGCTCTCTCTCTCTCTCTCTCCCCTGTAGTTTGAATTCAAGACCTTGTGCTTGCTAGCCAAGCAGTCTACCACTTGAGCCATCCCCTAGACTTGAACTTTCAGAAATTGTCAATTGTAAACTTTGGTGTTTCCCTTCTAGTTCTTCCCTTTTCATACAAGGATTCTTCTGCTCAAGAGAGCTGTACATGCAAGCAGGAGCAGGCTCCAGCAATGGACCATGAGTATTTTTAAGCTCTGAATGTGGCCAGAGCTCTACTCTACACTGGTGAGAGTCACCAGAGGTCAGCATGTCAGTACCATCTCCTTGCCAAGTCTAGCCTGATTAGATGGGGAAAAAGCATTACACTGGTAGGTGGGACAAACAGGATACAAAGTAACCAGGTCTGGATAGCTGGGCCTTTGTTACAACTGACTTAGAACCTACTGGTTTTAGCTACACCTGAATAGGGACATCTATGTTTTCCCCTGGAATAGAGATGGCTTAGCTGCTAAAGAAGTCTTGAGGGCTGGGATTGGCCTCGTATATCCGTAATCCCAGCTACTCAAGAGGTAGAAATCAGGAAGATCATGGTTCCAGGAAAGCCAGGACAGAAAAAGTTAAAAAGACTCCATCTCAAACAATAAGCCAGGTGTGGTGGTTACATTATAATCCCACCTATGCAAGAGGTACAGGTAGTAGGATTATGGTGTGAGGCACGTCCTTGGCAAAATTGCAAGGCTCCGTCTGAAAAATCACTAAAGCAAAAAGGGCTGGGGAATGGCTGAAGTGTTTGAACGCTTGCTTAGCAAGTATGAGGCCCTGAGTTCAAAACTCAGTATCATATACACACACATGCACACACACAAAATGTCTTGAGTCTGTGTCCTCCTCCATGTGTATGGCAGATGTAACTCCATTAGTGTCTGCTGAAGGGTTAAAGCAAGCAGTAAGGAAGCAACTGAGTACCTGCGATGCGTAGCTGGGAAGGGGGATGGTAGGGTCTGTGTAAGGGGAAGCCCTGTAGGCATCATGAAAAGGCCCGCAGAAATGAGAGGAAGAGCACAACACAAAGTTCAAATCTTTAGAACACGTGACCTTCCCAATAACACAATGAGGATAAATGTGTCCAGCAGGGAAAACCAGATCCACAATCACTTTTTCTTGGAGGAACTCAAGAAGGTTGGTAGGGAGGCAGGAGTACAAGGGAAGGGGACAGAAAATCCCACATCTCTGTACACCGGTGATGGTACTGCTCTCACTGTCCCCATTTTTCCTGCCTTTCTGGTAAGTTGGGCCTTCTGCTGTCAGACCGTCACTGTGTGTGGTCCTTGATCAACTGGAAATGACAGTCTCTAGAACACTTATGTGTTTGGGAACAAAATATGAGATATGTTACCAGAAATTATTTTTAGAATCAACTTAATTATTATGGGGATTTGTTTTGTTATCTGGAGCCCTGTAACTCTAGTCCCTATTGTAAGGACAGGGAGTCAGTAACGGGCACCAAATCTTCATTAATTCCACCCTTTTTGAGTGGAGATCAGAGAGATGAATGAAAGTGTATAGAGCCAGTTTCCCGCCATGACTGACTAAAGTTTAGACTGGGGTCAGAAGGTTCCCCCATGAGAAATAAACTACTCTACCCAGGTAGAAGAGGAGAGCAATTCATCAAGTTCCCATTCCACCGATAAGCTTGTGAAAAAAATTGGCACCTTGGTCACTGTGCCCCTGAGAAATCAGGTCCTATTTCACCTTTGGCATAAAGTCTAGTCATCTCAGTGGTCTTCAAGGAATTTTCTTGAGTGCCTATAAGTAAACCTATAGGTACAATAAAACGGCTTTTCAGATGTCGGGCTAAAGAGCATTCTCAGAAAGTGCTTCAATAGATTACCTTGATCACAAAGTCACAATCAAGTCAAGATGAATGAGAACAGGGCTGGTGGAGTGACTCAAGTGGTAGAGCACCTGCCTTGCAAGCTTGTGGCCCTGAGAGTTCAAACCCCACAGATGCAAAAAAGGGAGGAAACTGTTTCTTTCCTGGCTTTGCCTCTGTCTTGTGCGAAATGATCATTTTACTTTAACTCATAAGTGATGCTCCTCCAGAATGTTTATCTATGCTAAGAGAGAAGAAACAATTACATTTTGAATAGCATTTGGAATTTAAAAATCGCTATTGTGTTTTGAGGAAAAGCTGTTGGGAAATTGAAACTGAGCAGCAGTAATAACCATAAACTCCGTCTTTCCTTAAATGTGATAATAATGGGCTGCCCCTCCCCCCACATCTGATTTTCTCTCATATTGATTGCCTTAAACATTTTGCTGCCTGAAATGCTCTAACTAGGGATCCATTTAGGTAAAAAAAAAAAAAAAAAAAAAGTACCTTATCCAGAAATTCAGATACTCTTGGAGACGTCAGGAGACTATCAGGCAACAGTCCTTAGTGTGATCTAGTTAAGCACATTGCTGTGGACCTAAGAGCAGCAGAAAATAGGATGGTACTTTTTTTTTCTTTTTTGAGGTTGGGGCCTAGGCCAGCTTTATGAGTAACGATCGGCATGCAAAATGAGAGAAAAGACATCTCATTCAGATATTTAAACGTTTTTACAATTTTGCCTGAAGTGAAGTGGCGTTATCTTCCACTTCAGGAGGATTGTGTCTTATTTTAGAAAAGTCCCAGGAAGCCTGCTCTGATTTTTCAAATGAGCAGGTTTTGCTAGTGTAAAAAATCTTTGGGAAGATTTGGGAATGCACGAGTAAAATAACATATAAACGTTGAATTTTGTGAAAATAGAGTAGATTCCTTTCCTTGAAAATCTCTATCACCCACGCTGAATTTAATGTACTGTTTTCAAACTAAATAGACTGAATTTTAGGGCACGAAAGTAGCCACAAACTAGTCTCCCTCATTATCCATATTGCTTTGAAATCCCACATTTAAAGCACGAGGGCATTGCATGTTTCTTCCTCAAGGCTGTGTGCAGGAGACCAAAGCCCTCAATCAGCTTGGTAGCAGAAGATCCAAATCAGATGAAATTGCATAAATTAAAACTAAATTGCAAGGCACTTGGACAAAGCAGGCGTGCCAGTCTAATCAGCAAAGTGGTGATATTTACTTTTCCGTAATGCAGGTTGGAAGAGGATTTGGGGGAGGGAAATAGTACAAATCTCCTTTAATATATCTCTGAACTTGGCAATCTGAACTGGTTTTGTCACATATTTGCAGCTTAAAAAGTGTTTGGCTTTTACAGCATCCAAAATAAGTATCCTTTAATCACTTTCAACCTATGAACAGATGGACTAACAGTGCTTTTATAAATGGAGCATACAAAATACTTCAATATCAGCCAAAACTAATTAGTAGCAATATCTGAACCAAACTCCAAAACTGCTTTAGTGTTTAATGTATATTATCATATAAGCATTAGTAGTTGAAAGGAAATTCCCGATTCAAATGTTTGCCAGGCTCAGGGTCTAATGTTCAGACGTGATTAACTTACTAATTAACTTCGTGTATCTTTCCTCACATGTAATATTACTTAATGATTTCTTCTCTCTCTGAAAGCCATTTAATTTGATACTTTGATCATAGATTTGTCAAACTTCAAGTGAAAAAAGTCAATATAGCCTTACGGCCATGGTCTTTCAACTTTCTTATAATGACTTGAGATGAAGGTGGCATCAGGACAAAGAGGGTGGTCCCTCCTATCATGAAAAATGGTTTTATATCTAGCCTCTAATGATTCACATTTTTACTCTCATAACGATTTTCTGAAAGTTTTATAGAAATTCTTTTGTAGCTAAGGATCTGCAAAAATGACAATTCTCTCTATATCAGAATTGTGTGAACACATGGTGAAGGAAGATTACTTTAAAAATTACATTTAAGTCAAGGCTAGTTTCTACTGATTCTCTAATGCAGAGGAGGTCACTTGGTGTCCTTATCCCTGACAGAAATGACACATGTCTCAAATTTCACCTACTCCTCATTCTTGGACCCTGTGTAAGTCCAACACTTCTGTATCAGGTGTGTAGGTGTGATATGGCAGCATCTTTTAAGTACTGCTGAAACAAGGGAGTGAACGACAACCCGAAGCCCATCATCTGAGTCACCTCCGGTAGTGAGGACTGGGCATTGCCAATATCACCCTTCCTGTAACCAGGACATAATTTTATCCTCCTTTGATTATAACCCCACAAGATCTGGAGGGCTTTGGATTCTGTCTTCAAGATCTTAGGAAGTAACTTGATTTCTCTCAATACCAGTTTTCTCAGTCATAAAATTAGAATAGTAACATTTACCCAATGAAACCATTTTTGAAGGTTAAAGGGGAAATTCTCAAGTTAACATTTAATAAAATGTCACTACTATTGCTACTACAATTGTCCATGGAACTAATTATTATACTTTTACATTTCATGGTACATGCTGGCAAAAATCTGAACAGAGTTACAAAATGAGAAACAAATCAGCATTTGTATTTACAGCCTAATGTTTTCTTTATAACCTAGTGTTAGCCAAGGGTTTGGATCAGTTTGACTGGAGGAGTCAGTAAGTTAGAATCTATGGAGACATGTCCTGAGTAGGTGTTTCTGGAAAAATATGGTAGAATGATTTCCATTCACCCTTGGTTTAGAAACACTGTGTTACTACAACAACAATATTTTAACATGCTTCTTCCTACCCTTACTGAACAACTTGAAAAAAGTTACAATCATGCGATATATGTAATTTGATATCTCTTTTCCTTTAATGTTTTGAAATTATAAGCCATTTCTCAAATTATTACATATTTTCATCAGTTTTATGACTTAATAATAATTTATTGATTGGATCTAACACAGTTTACTTAGATATTTGTTTCTAAGTTTCTACATCATAAGTAAACCTATGATGGGTATTTTCATAAATGTGTCTTTTCCCATAACTCCTAGAAAGGAAAGGATACTTTGTTTTAGATTGCCACATCACTTTTGCAAATAGATTATGCAGTGAAGAATGTTGGAAGAGCATCTTCAGCAGAACCTTTTGTGGAATTGGCTAGTTTTATATTATTTTCCTTTTAATTTTGAAAGTGAAAAATGGTGCCTTATTATTTCTATTTTAACTTAGAATTATTGTTGGAACATTTTCCTTGTATATTTCTAATTAATTTTTAAAGGCTCTAGTTTATGTTTTAATTAATCACAATCAAATTCTATTTGAGAATGTGGTGTGCCTTTAAGGCACCCTGGTTGTGTGATTATCGTTAAACCAAGCTTGGCATTATTATTCCAAAATCAGGAACCACAATGAAGATAAAATATGGGATATTGATTTTTATAAGGATGTGATATCTTTTCATAGAGTTAGAGACATTGAAATGGGATGAAAGATACTTTTATGAAGACAGGTTTGGATGTTAGAAACTATAAGAAGTAAAACAATGGTAGATTTTTTATCCAGGAAACGAGTATAAATATTAGGTAATATGACAGGACCTAATTTCTTTTGCTTGTGTGTATACTATTCTTGGTTGTTAGATGTACAACAGCTAAATGACTATAAAGTTTGCCTTTCCATCCAGCCTTATCAAAAATCAGTGCTGTGAGAGCTTAAAGTAATTGTTATTGTTCAGTAATAATTTACAGAAGAGTTTAAGATTGTAATCATCTTGGAGAGTAGTGTGAGACAGAATTGCCTGTGTTTGATCATCACAAGGTGACAGGTGCCTCCTTCTCCCAGCTTTGAGCTATGGCGTGTGTACCTCCTCATGGTAGAGGAAGACGAGTTGCCGGTTTGCCTCTCAGTCCTATCTTGTGATCAAGATGTATTCATAAGGCACAGCTTTCACCACATAGGTTTGTTCAGCAACCAAATCCTTAAAGTAATATTCTTTTTAAATGATTTTTATATGGCTGAGATCTTTATTGTCCCTATCAGTTCTTGAGGTTAGGGACCAAGAATCATTTCAAAGCAACACATTCTATTTTGATATCCTCACACTTCCCAGTATGCCTTGTTTGTCAGGAGGTAGAATTCTGGGCGTTCCCTAAGCATTGCAAAAGATCTAGGCTGAATCTCTACAAGGACTCAGTGGGCATCATTTTCACATAATAAGAAAATCTATATTTCTTAATGGAGCCAACAAACTAGTTTAATGACTCACATTAAAACATAATATCTTCAGCGTGGAAATGGATACAAACTAGATTTTTCAACTACATCATGACACAAAAATTTATTGATTCTTATTCAAACTTAATGAATACTTACTTACGTAATGAAGTCAGTAAGTCACTCGCTT